AAAAAAAAATCTCTATGTTTCACAACTGACTACGAGAAAATTCACAACAGATGTATAATTCAGTAATTTATATGCGTGGGCAATACTTTGGTACTGTTAACACTAGATAGGAGCACACGTAAGCCTTCGAACAGACTGAGACGCGAACGAAGCTTACCTAGCCTACTCAAGCTCATCTCTTTACTACCTGAACCGAGTATATGCACAAAATAGGAAAATTTTAATTAGGTATTTGGAGTATTTAGAATGTTAATGTTAAATACGACAAAGCTCGGTTTATAATAATATTGTTTGCCAATGATGGTTTTTGTAACAGAAAAAGCTTTATAAAAAAAAAAAAAAAAAAAACATATCATTCAATTTTATAGGGCTGTCATTCATTCGTACCTTTTTTTTTTAGTAAATTAGTAGACAGAGTATGATTTTGTATTTCAAACGTTAAGAATTGACTGAAATAAATTTCTAAAGCTTTTGTTGGAATATCAATATTAAATTCATTACAATGTTGTACCGACAAATAATGGTATTCGTAAAGGTGCATCGATAGATTGTACACAATTTTTTAGATTGTACACAATTTTTTTAGCCTACTAGCCTTCGATTCGGGTCGACGTAACAACTGTGCCGCTAAGATACTATTGGTTATCGGTTGCAGAAAGAATTTCACGAGAGGTTGAGGAAATAAAACAAGAGAAAAAAAAGTTGAACGTCGAAAGGGTCGAGGGCGAATTTAAAGGGTTACTGCACCGATTCATCAAAAAGTTCCTTCCAATTCGTAATACTCGGCTGGCACGACAGAGACACGAACTTCGGGTGGAGAAAAAAAAGGGGGTCGCCGAGATTCTCTCTTTAATATCTGCCAGCCTCCGTATCTATACTCTTCGGCGCTTCTTCTTTCTTTCTTTTTTTTTTCTGTTCTTAATTCTCCTACTACAACCCCGTCAGTCTAGCGTCTCATCCGGGCGGCACGCAAGATTTTAAATTTAATAATTCTTTTTCATCCAACTCTTGCCCGCCGGCCACGCGCAGCCAATTATTGCTATCGTCCTGGTACAATCATTTTATGTATACATATACATTGCCCAAGAGTATAGAATATATTCAATTTTTCGCTACGATGCGCTTACGAAGATTTTTTTTTTCACCCTCTCAATTGTCGATTAATTGAAGAAGGGACAATGTGAACAAAGATTGTCTTTTCCTTCTTTTTTAGTATCTATTATTTTTCTTGTAGCCGTGTGTTTATACATAATAAATTAAAGGTATTGAAAACAAAGCTTTAGTTAAATTTATAGTGTACAATCTTAAATTTGAATAAATAATATCAAGTGAATATACGAGACTAAACAATGGCTTATCGATGTTTTATGATGCAAAAAAACAAGTTTAAATATTATTTCATTATTTAACACCAAGAAATTTACAATATTTTTCATCCATGACTGATACATGAGCGTCATTTTTTATCGTACACAACTCCTTTTTACAAATTATATCAAGTGTTGGCAAAGAGTACAAGTTTCTTGAACCAAATTTGAAACTATTCATCGAGACACATAATCGCGAGACCGTGCTACACCAGCCGACATGGAACAAACACCTAAAAATGTAAAGAAAACTCATGAAAATACATTTTCCCTCATCTAAAAACAAATATAGATGACTAACCCGTAGATTATCCCGCAAACTCCCTCATTCTCTCACTTAGAAAAATTCACGTCTTTACAACCAAATCCAATCCCCAAGCAAAACAAACTAGCTCAACAGAACAACTATATGTAGAAGAGAAGACTCAAAAAAAAAAAAAAAAAAAAAAAAAAAAAAAAAAAGAAATCACTCTGCTGCAAATTCGTCTCGCGTGCTCGTAAACGCTTCGGCGCAACAGCAATCATCCACACTTTAATTTTACATAAAGAAACGCGCGCGCGTAACTTCTGTGTGTTTCTCTTTAGCCTCAAACACACAACAGATTAAAAGTTAAAGTGGAGCCGATCAGTCGAGGAAAGATGAGCGCAAGTAGAGGAAGTTGGCACGGACTTTGTTCCGAGAGAAAAGCAACCTCTCGCTAAAACAGTACAACCCATTCGTGTACAGGTGCAAGGGGAGCTTGACGAGTGTGCATATTGTACGGTCGTGTGTGTACTACTGATATACGTTGAACACCGGCATTTATGCTCTCTCCGCACTCGTCGAGCTCACTTACACACACACACACACACACACACACACATTATTACAGAAGTCAGGTTGAAAGTAGGCGTGTAAGAACGCGTTTAATAAAATTGCCGGCAGAGCTTTTCGTAAGTGCCGGCTAATGGTTTTGCTCGCCCCGATAATGTCGAGGGGTTGGAAAGTTTCGCCGTTGATTGAGGTCTATTACGATTTTCGTGATGCCAATACACGAGGAAAAAAAAAACAACAGCTACAGCACTGCGACGCGACGAAAGCTTTTTTTTCGTGCATACACTTGCGCTACCAAAACTTTTCCCCATAGACAATGGTCGTCATGAAACATTTACCATTCTCGGGTCCTGATGTACCTGGAAAAGGGGTACAGGGGAGAATTTCCAGATAACAGAAATCCATCGGTATTGTATGGGTAGAATCGTAACACGCGTATACAGCGAAATACAAGAATTATAGCCAATCGTGGTTGAGACCTCGTACAATAGAACCGAATAGCTGATAGGAGCAGTATATACACACCTATACCCATACGCGAGGAGGGACGAGATAATAGAGCGGCTCCAGAAATATACACTTTTCAGCGGAAATGCGTATACTGTTTTTCCACCCAGGGCTCGTTAATTATGAAAAGCCAGCCGATAATAAGAAAGCAAACGCACTGTGTTTTCCAACGGAGCCTCTCCTTGCCCTCTCTTCCTCCCTTTTTCTCTATTATTAATGCGATTTTAATTGACGGTGGACAGAGGATGTACCTCATACACGTAAACTCGCGTACGCACCTGTCCACGTATATATACACCGTACATGAGTATACGATAAAAACGAGAGAGAGAGAGAGAGAGCGCCGGCCAAAAGAAAAAAAAAAAAAAAAAAGGCGAGGGAGTGTATCCCACACCGTAATATATCGATGCGGCTGTGGTGGTGGCGGCTAAATAAGTAATTGCTCGGCGCTTGGGCTGCTTCTTCTCTTCTGCTCCTCCGCTCATTGTTATTCGGGGTCTTCGACACGTATTGACCTCTTCCTGCCCGCGCGGCGCGGGTGGCTTCCACTATTTCTTCTTCTTCTCCTCTTCCTTCCTTCCTTCCTTCCTTTTTCGTTTCCCCCCTTTTATCTTGGCCTCATCTCCCACCTTATTGGCTTTGGATTCGCGGTGCCTTTTGTACACAACGCTAAGGAAAACGCGTGCGTGTGTGCTCTCCTATACAATATACTATAATGTACATGTCGTGCGCCATGGCTATTGAGAAAATGGATTGTGCCAGTGTCCGACTGTCTGTCTGGGGAAGGATGTTTTGTGAGTGTGTGCCACAAAGGGTTCGTTATAACGCGAGAGGAGGCTGTTTTTTTTTTTTTTTTTTTTTTTACTATCGATCGCGTCCATCGTTTTTTAAATACTCAATGGGGTCAAACGCTTTTTTCTTCGATACGAGTAGTGCATGGGAAAGGGTAGAATATTCGTACCTTCTGTCCATCGTCGTTGTAAACGAACATATGGCAATACTCAATAAAGGAGAAAAAATTTATTTTCATCACTTTATGAAACATCTTTTTCTGATTCGATTTAAAATATCAAGAGGCGCGTATCGCTACGACGTAGAAAAAAAAAAAAAAATTGGACGAAACGAGCTGAAGGTAGAGGAAAGCTATTTTTATTAAATTCGAGCGCTCCGATCTTCGATGAATCGTTGGGAGGCAATTGAATAAAACATAAAATCGGCGCATCGCTTGGGCTCTTCTTCTGCCGTTTTTTTTTTTTTTTTTTTTTTCTTTTCTTTCGTTATTCCCGCAGCTCGAGGCGGCTGTGGGTATATACGTGCACGCGAGCGACGACGGGTAAAAAGGCAGGGAAGAATGTCGATATTAATAAAAGTTAAATTGAGCCAATCGCCCGTGGAAATCACAATAGACGCGCGCGGTACTTTGGGAGGGATGAGGAAAAACTCTTCTGTAGCGGAAAGTAAAAAAAAAGGGGGGGGGATGTACACGCGTTGGAGAGCCATGATGGACCGTTAGATGAGGGTGACCTGGTGTGCAAAGTTTGTTCAACTGTGATGGATTGATGAGAAAAATTGCAATTTTGTTCGCGCGAGTAAAATCCATTATTTGATCGGAACCAAGGACCCGCTGGTAGCCGAGAATAATCAGGAGCAAAAATGACCATTGGAACAATGAAATATACCTTGGCAATGAAGATCGCGTGAGAAACGTACGTGGTACGGCGATGAACAAAATTAATAATCAACACGTGTAGCTCAATTTACCTGAAACCCTTTGATAACTAGATTTATAAATTTAACCTTTTAACAGGCGCTTTTTCGTAGTCGAAACATTTCACATGATACCTACAGTATATCTATCCATCCATTTTTAATGATGTATACGTGAAAAATGCTGGTGTTACAACGGAAAAAAATAAAAATGAGAAATCGTCATTTTTGTGAAAAAAATAATGATTAAAAAATCGTCCCAAGCACGGACGATTGCACGACAGAGTAAAGGGTGGTAAATTTTTATTAGCAAAGCGTGTACGATAAACTCGTTTGTAATGTCAAGGTTGCATGAAATAGGTACGAGAGGAAGAGCATTACCCGAAAACAACATCTGCCCGAGTTCACTGAACTTACGCCCACGTAGAACATTAACCCCTTCGACTCGACACTCACTGTATACTCCAACTTACCTTAATTATACTTTACATATTTTATCAAAGAGCTGCAATTTGTATACTTCATACATACGTGATGTATATAATATATTACAACCAAGAAAAGAGAAAAATCAAAAAAATAAAAAAATAATCGTATGGTCACAGGTGAACGGCCGTACAAGTGCCACCTACCCGATTGCGGGCGGGCCTTCATCCAGCTGTCGAATCTCCAGCAGCACCTAAGGAATCACGACGCGCAGGTGGAGCGCGCGAAGAACCGGCCGTTCCACTGCAACATTTGCGGCAAGGGCTTCGCCACGGAGTCCAGCCTCAGGACCCACACGTCCAAGGTCAGTCATGTATGTACCAAATCCGACGTCCATGATTTATTATTTTACAATCATCATTACTACTTCTACTACTGCTACTACTTACAACTACTACTATTACTACTTCCTTTTTTGTTTACCATTAATACGTGTTTTCGTAGACGCGCGTTTTCGATCAAGGGATTTATGAACAATCGTACGATCACAGATTTCGAAAGTTTTTCTATGTCTCATGGGAGCGCGTGGGAGAACGCCTAATGGTTCGATAAAAAAAAAAAGCCCGATAAATTTGCGGAGTACAACCACACCGGGGGTTGTTTTGTTTTTTTTATTCTCCTCCTCGGTTACAAGTGGCGCGCGTGGCCAATTCAATGAACAATATTGACGCGTCATTGGAGTAATGTCATGCTACACGTCACTCTTGCACCAAATGCACGGCGGGCTGAAGGTAAATTTTCGCAATCAAAGCATGGATGCATTATACAAGTGCAGTGAGTGCACATTATACACCTTTTTTCTGGGCCACACGTTGCATTTGATGTAAGTAACGCTCTGTATCGCTCTTTCCGCGTTCGTATCTACGACTACTAATTCAACACTTACCAATCAGACACGCACATGATAACACGCATCATATACACAAATGCGCGATTTTAAGTCACCGTAAACCACGAGACACGCGCGTGTACGTTTTCACGGTGTCAAACTAATCTGGCCAGATAAGGTAAAACACGAGTCGACGTATATTTATGTATATGCATATATAACGTATACGCGTACCTGTACTCATATCGTGTGCAAGGCAAGTTTGTCGTTAGTTGTGAACTTGTGCCAAAGTTAAACGACGATACAAATTAATAAACAACTCGCGTTGCACATTTTACATATAATGCCTATATATATATACATAAGTTTTATCGCGGTGGTGGTTGTTCACGCTTTCACGCAAAATTTGTACATATATTATTTATAACACTGTGTAAAATTAATCAGTGACACATTGCTATATCATTATATCATCATCATATAATTATGTATACTTATCTCGTTGGCTTTTCCTCTCACGTCGAATCAATCTGTTCTTATGTACACGTATATGTTAAATAACATCATATATATACACACAATATATGGATGAGCTTTGAAACGGTGTCAGTCTCGCATCATCAAAACAAATATCGCACCTCACGAGCACAATTATTATTGTGATAACTGTTTGAACATGCAATGGAAATCAGTAAATATTTCTATATACCCTCGAAAGGAACCCCGTAAAATCGAGGATAATCAAGTATACACCCGTATCATTAAACGAGGGAACGGAGAAAAATCCAAAAACAAAGGGTCGCAGGAACGGGAGGGAATAAGCGTGCGAACGCGCCCGTCTTCTAGTCCGGTGTCCTTAAATGGATTATCGTTACACCGGTACAGTGTATACACACACGGAGAGAGAGAGAGAGAGAGGAGGGGGGGAGCAATACCGGTATTGTGGTGCGCTGTGCGCTCGTTACGTTAGAGCTCGCAGGGGGGGGAGGCCCTTAACGTTTGGCAGAGCGAAGAAAGCCGACTCGAGGAGTAGGGAGGAAGGAAGGAAGGCAAAAAAAAGAGCGAAATAATATAAAGAATCGGGCCCAAAAAAAAAAAAAAAAAAAAATTACGCCGTACACACACACACAGCGTGGCGCAAGAAGGAGCAAACGAGGAGGGAAGGAAAAGACCGCGCGCTCTCGGCGTGTCGTGTGTGTGTATATGCATATAAGGGGCCTCTAATCAAATTCACCCCCTTTGAACAATAGGGCCCGGGAATCTCGGACCTTTTTTTTTTGCTCTCTCGGCTAGCTGCTGCTGGCCAACCGAAAATCTCTTTCTCTCCCTGTCGACCCTTTCGCTTTCTTTCTCGCCCGGCACATGTCTCGGGAGAGAAAGAGAGAGAAGAGCAGCCGAAGAAAAAAGCCAGGGGAAACGGACAGATGCCTTCCGAGAGATCTCTCTCTCTCTCTCTCTCCTTCCTTCCCTTCATTCTTCTTCCCTCCTCCTGCCTCTCTCTTCGCACGATCGTTTAATTTTAATCCTCGGGAGCCGGGCCAAGCGCAAATCATCCTGCGGAGGTACGATCTTGCCTCTGGATTCGGGTCTTCTTTTTTTCACTCCTCAAGAGCCGTTGTTGTTGGGTATACCGTATCGCATTATTTAACTTTTTTTTTCATTGCATTTTTCACATGCGCTAAAAGTACAATTTTTCGTTTACGACCCAGTCCCTGCACAAATAACGTTTCCCTCTCTCTTTTCCTCTCATGTATAGAGCTGCAACAAACTCGAAAATTGCCTCTACAGAGTATCGCCCTGTCGTGCATTTTTGACCCCGTGAAAAATAGGTACGTCGTATAACGTAACGTTTACGGTAGACGCGGGGAAGGAGCAAAACGAAGAAGCGGTTCTTTCAACGTCCACCGATCTTCGGGCAATAAATATCTCTCGGCGGTGCACGCAAAACCGTACATCCGTGGTAGCGGTGGCCCTCTTCTAGATCCTCCTAATTGAAACCTAATCCGTGGCTTAAAGCCTCGCCCGTTTGGTTTTCGCCCACCGGCGATGATAAATCCTCGGCCGCGCTAATCTGCCTCAGCCACTTATACGCCTCCCTCCCGCGCCGCGTCTATAGATCAATCTTTTTCGACGGGTGTGCCAAGATTTTCCTGCAACAACAGCATCAGGGGGGTCCCCGATGGCGCCTCGACACGAACCGAGGGGGGAGTCGCCGGTGTGCTTCTTTCGGCGCTCGTTTTACATGTTCGTGCGGCTTTTGTCGAAGCTTCCTGCAATTTGCGGCAATTTTTACCCCCTTCCTCGCAGCGACCCGCCTCGATTTTCCCGATTAAACCAAGGGGTTTTGGAAGTACGGGGCGATCATCTAAAATCATGCAAATGAGCCCTCGATTGAGATTATAGTTTAGAAAAAAAAAAAAAAAAAACTCCGTTTATCCCCATCTTTCAAGGGAGAGTTTTGTATACACAAACGGGGTGTATATACGTACAGTATGCAGGACAACGCAAAACGCTGGAAAAAGCCCCAAGGGCCGGGAGATTGCCGGGAGTCGTTAGCCGGGTCCATTTTCGGGAGATGTATATCCAGCAGCTTTTAAAATTAGTTTCTTTACTGGCGACACGACGCTCCTCTTCGCTGGATTACCGCAGAAATAAAGTATCGCGTTCCCGTGTATATATACACAAGCGCGACTCTCGGGCGTAATTAAAACAAGGCTGGAGCTGTAGTTGCCGGTGCAAAGGTGAGGAGAGTTAAATGCACAAGGGGCGGGTGAAAAAGAGAGGAGGCCGTGCCCCGCGTTTTCTAGGGAAAATATAAAACGAACCGAGGGGGAGAGAGAGAGCCCATCTCGGCACGGGACTAATCGAATTGCCCGCGCGGAGCGAGCGCAGATTTCTCGAAATTGTTTTCCTCGTTTCGCCCGGCAGATCGACTCGCGCTCTTTTTCCCAGGGACACGGGGGACACGTTTTCCCCCGGAACCGGAGGTGCACTGGTCAGGTTGCTACTGTTAAGGTATATACGAATGTATTGTGCGATATTCAGCTTGGATGACGAATTATTGCAGTCGTTTTTAGCTAATTAACATTTTCGAGTTGGTTCGCGAATGGAAATCATGTTGTACATGTGCGTACTTTGTTAGAATTAGATCATTGTAATCGAGTACAAAGAGGGCTAATGAGCATTGCGTTGCACACGGGTTATGGATACCTTGTGCACGGCAAATTAATAATACTAAATAGACAGCCGATCGGTGTATTTGCGCGTGTAATTATATTGTAGATTAAAATGGAAACGTATGCCATTACGAAGCGAGTAGTGCACCACTCGGATGGACAAGGGATGAAAAAAAAAAAAAAAAATCCAAGAAAAACATAGGAAAGATATATACACACAAAACCTACGCGGAAAACAAGATGCATTTGCCTAATTAGAGTTTAATCTGCACTTGCAACAATTAGCTATCCATTGCTTCGATCTGCAAATCCCGTATAGAACTTCGTATCGATCCCACAGGTACACGTATACACGTTGCTTTTACGTATCTGGCTTCTTTTTTTTTCATCATATAATTATGTATACTTATCTCGTTGGCTTTTCCTCTCACGTCGAATCAATCTGTTATTTTATAGGGCTGTCATTCATTCGTACCTTTTTTTTTTAGTAAATTAGTAGACAGAGTATGATTTTGTATTTCAAACGTTAAGAATTGACTGAAATAAATTTCTAAAGCTTTTGTTGGAATATCAATATTAAATTCATTACAATGTTGTACCGACAAATAATGGTATTCGTAAAGGTGCATCGATAGATTGTACACAATTTTTTAGATTGTACACAATTTTTTTAGCCTACTAGCCTTCGATTCGGGTCGACGTAACAACTGTGCCGCTAAGATACTATTGGTTATCGGTTGCAGAAAGAATTTCACGAGAGGTTGAGGAAATAAAACAAGAGAAAAAAAAGTTGAACGTCGAAAGGGTCGAGGGCGAATTTAAAGGGTTACTGCACCGATTCATCAAAAAGTTCCTTCCAATTCGTAATACTCGGCTGGCACGACAGAGACACGAACTTCGGGTGGAGAAAAAAAAGGGGGTCGCCGAGATTCTCTCTTTAATATCTGCCAGCCTCCGTATCTATACTCTTCGGCGCTTCTTCTTTCTTTCTTTTTTTTTTCTGTTCTTAATTCTCCTACTACAACCCCGTCAGTCTAGCGTCTCATCCGGGCGGCACGCAAGATTTTAAATTTAATAATTCTTTTTCATCCAACTCTTGCCCGCCGGCCACGCGCAGCCAATTATTGCTATCGTCCTGGTACAATCATTTTATGTATACATATACATTGCCCAAGAGTATAGAATATATTCAATTTTTCGCTACGATGCGCTTACGAAGATTTTTTTTTTCACCCTCTCAATTGTCGATTAATTGAAGAAGGGACAATGTGAACAAAGATTGTCTTTTCCTTCTTTTTTAGTATCTAT